AATGTTCTTTTCGTGCAAAGATCCTTTAGGAACACAAAGTTAGGAGTAAATACTGAGAACACTTCAAACCATTTGATAATTGAGACATGGAAATACGATTTCATTTAATTTTAGGGATATTTAATCTTAGGGATTGAGACATGGAAATACGATTTCATTTAATTTTAGGGATATTTAATCTTAGGGACTAGAAAAGCATTAAGCAAAGAAAAGGAACCCCAAGGAGAAGAGCCAACAAAATTTCCAATGTCTGTGATGGGAAGTGGAGTGCCATCCATGTAATAAATTTTAATAATTTTTTCTTACCAACGTATGGAACCAAGAAAGAAAATAGACATCCATAAGATGTTACATGATTGGCTGTCCCCATATCCATAATCCAACAGACATTTCTGAGAGCAGTGTTGAGGAAGTCATTCGAGCTTGTGATATGTTTAGATCATATTTATTTATTGGGATAGGGATCAGGACCCACTTTGAGATCGGATTTGGAGCAAGGAATCATGAAAGGCTAAAAGTTCCCTAGGTTTGGGATTATTTGTACAACCCAAATGTAGGACTGAGATCATAAATATGTTGGGGAGCTTGATTCCAACTTCTAGGGATCGTAGGATAAGTTCTGCTGGTTTGAGCTCCAATTGCTTAAAAATCGAGGTCCTAGAGTTCATTTAACTAGGGTTCCGCATGTCAGATGCACAATCCATATAATACCATAAATTATTAGTGATCTTAAAAAATTCAATATTTTTTTATTAAAAATTTAAGAAATCCAATCATTCTTTAAGAATTTAATATTTTTATCCTCCTTTGCATGTAATTTATATTTTAATTAAGTAATAAAGAATTTATAGAAATTAAAACTTATAAAAAAAGAAAAAGAAAAAAGAAAATCGAATGCTATGTAATATTTAAATTTTTGCATTCGTTGAGTATAGTTATGACTTTAGGTAATGTAATAGCAATAATAGTCATCCTACTTAGTTGAATAAAAATTATTAAGATAAGTATTAAATTGAAGCTCAAGGTAACTTGTGATCTGTTAAGATCCCAAAAGGGGCTATATTGTCTACAACCACGGAAAATTATGTGTGAATAATACGTGCAGCTAATATATTACATAAAACTTAACAATGTTAACTAATTTATCCAAATAGCCGTTATTTAGCATTAATTTGAAGTTCGAGGTTTGAATTCATGACCTATTAAAGAGGGCAAGAGGAATAGTCCACCAAGGGAATCTCAATCCCACATTGGTGGAGCCTTGGTTCTGTTTACCTATGAACCCTTAGATATGAGGCAAAGCAATTTGGATCCTGTGTAAATCAGGATCTCAATCCTTAATAGGAAAGATAGAGATTTCAAAGTTTATAAATCACAGACTGAGATCCCCCCTACTTGGAGCTCAGGAGCTCTGCAGTGGGAATCGACTCCTTGGCTAGGAGATCCTGGTAACTGTTGTTCAGATCCTGGTAACATTATGTTGGAACATAGAATCATATATGTGGAAAAATTGGGAGGAGGTGTGATTCTTTCCAACAAAGCTGACATGTAATGGGTTAGTTGGCATTTGCAAGCTGACAGGGCACCAGTAAAAGGAAAAGTATCCCATCCCCATGATGTGGATGGGCACCCTTTTACTGATTGAGATTTGACAAGGCCATATCTAATGGCCAAAAATTTATTTCAGTATTTTTTTATTCAAATGAGATATTTTACTGAATTTTTAGCTGTAAGTTCATTTTTATAAATACAATTCAATGAGGATGTTTGAAAAATGTTTAAATGAAAAATGACTAAAATACCCCTAAATTTATTTTGATCAATATTTTTTTATTTCAAATATTTATTATTATTATTATTATTATTATTCTTATTTATTTATTTAATTCTACTAAAAAATAAAACTAAAGCACAAATTTCATATTAATATATTTTTAAGTAAAAGTTAAAATAAAAAATGAAATTCTTTTTTGACTTGGATTAGGCTGATTCAATCTGAACCATTAAAAGGTGATTATGCACCTTTTAAGTGTCTACAGCTTGTGGATGCAATACCATCCCCCAGTAAAATTCCAAGTGTGTCCTTATTGCTGATTGTCATGACTGGGAAAGAACGGTGAAGTCCTTCCAAACCATCCAATGAATAAGAGTAGAGCAAAGGGCCAATGGCGCGCGAAGTGCATGCAGAACGAGCGCAGAGAAAAAGAAGTGCGGAGGAGAACCAGCCGAGCTCATTCCCTTCACTTCTTGGGTCCAAAGCAGTGTAGTGTTTCCTGGCCAAATCAAGGATTTGGGGCCTCTTGCACATTTATATAAAATATATAGATATCCATGATTTCCATAATGCTGGTTAAGTGGATAGAATCAACCACATCCACGACCAGAGTCTATATAAAATATATAGATATCCATGATTTTATAAAAATTTATGTTTTTAAGGCATCATGATTCTCTTCCTTTGCCTTCCACTGATTTTTCTTGAATGAGATTTGATGCTGCAATAAGAGTTGAAGCTCATTGAAGCCAGGTATAGGAGGTGGTCTAGACATGACCGATGTGACAAAAATGTCATACTCTTCACCTAACCCTCCAAGCAAGTAGAATACTTTATTGTCATCAAAAAACTTTTAGCCAATTATAGCTAATTGATCACAAAGTCCCTTCACCTTGTTGAAATACTAATGATAGAATTCTCTTCTTACACTATTGGAGTTGACGGTGAATATGCATCAGGATTAGATGATTGAGAATAAATCTTATGAAGAAGATCCCATAATTGTTGGCTGAACAAACACCTGCACTTGAGCCTAAATGTCTTGAGGAAGAGTAGAATTTAGCCAGGCGATTAGAGACAGGCTGAGGCAACTCATAATCAAGATTAGAGACTAGTTTCATCTCTTTTGTGCCATCTTTAAGCACAAACTATTTCCCAAAAAAGGCTGGTGTAGTAGATAGGGTTCTGGCGAGATGTCCCATATGGTTTTAGCCCATTTAAGAGTGGAACAATTTGACTTTTCCAGATTATGAAGTTGGTACAGTCGAATTTAATAGCAACCATTTATGGAAGCATGTTAGTTGAGAAAGAAATTTGTAGATGAGGAAGCCATATTTAACATGACAGAAAATATTAGGTTTAAGTAGAAGGTTGGGTCTCTATTTTAAGGTTGTACAGAGAGAAAATTTCATGCTTTTGAAAGGAAATAGAGATTTTTAGAATTGGGTCTTTTGGTAAGTGATAGAGTTTCGGTCCACTTTTTTTGGCAGAACTCCAAGATTCAAGAAGGAGACAATGCAAAGAAATTTGAGATATGAACTAGTAGATCAAACAAGTCGATGTGGAGCATAAAAATATGAAGTGTTCGGATCTGATTTTGGGATTTTCAGATCTGATTTGATGTAATCAACAGTTAACTTAGGGTTAATAAGGTTTGAAGTATAGGGAATATCAGATTTGATTTCGAGAGGAGAAAAAATAAAATGGAAAGAGATTGAGATGATATAAGATAGCTTAGGGTTTCAAAAGAAAGTAAAGTTTGAAACGAGAATGAAATTAGGATCAAGAAAGAAGAATAGGTTCGACAATTGATGTGAAATACTAGGAGAAACATGAGTTAGGTTTGAAGAGAGATGGGATTTAGGAAAGTCAGAGTTCACGAAGAGAAGAATCTGGTTTGATATTCAAGAAAGGAAGAAATTGGAATTAGGGTTTAGTTTCACTTTTCAATCCTTGTCTCTTACATCGATCTTTAACCTTGCCTTGACAATATGAACAATATGAACAATACAAATTACAAACAATACAAATTACAAACAAGCTCATGACAATATTAATAATTTCATAAGAACATAATTTACAAGTTTGTGCCTGTAAACCACATTGTACCCTAAATAGTCTCTCTCTTGCTTGTTATAAACATAAATCAGGTAGAATGATCCAAATTTCTTTTCCTAAATGGATGGATTTTCAAACAAATGCCTAATTGTGAGGGCCTTTAGGTTTCTAGTTGTGTGAATGTTTGCAAATGCTTTTGGCGAGAAAACCCTGTGATAAACCTCCAATTATTTGGAAACCTCCCAAATCTTTATCAAATTAAGCATATTGTAGATGTAGCAAACATTGAATGCAAATAACAGAGCATATACTGAGCAAATAGACAGAGGAAGCAAAAAAAGAATAGTTTATCGTTAAATTTTTCTTTTTATCCATAGTAGGCATTTTTACTTCAAAATGATGTGGCCTAGGAGTCTGTGTTATGATGAATGATAATGAGCATTGTACTTTAACCATGTGCCAATCTTAGCGAGACATGCCCATGGTCTACATGGTTTTCCACCTCAGTGCACCAATAGTGCTGTGAGAGTTCCTAAAATTGCCAATTGAGGCATTTAAATTTCTAGCACTAGTTTCGATTTATGCTTGATAAGTACTACATGCTTTCTGTTTCTGTTCAGTGATCCCTACTTATGAGAAGTGCCACGTAGTGTGCGTGAGGTTTCCCCAGAATCATATACTGACGCAATTCTTGGTATGTTGACCAAGTTCTGTATTCCATCGTTTAGTTGTTTAAGGTATGGTCATTTACTCAGTTAAGTGGCCTATGTTCACCATGGAAACTCAGATCCAGTAAAAGGCCAGTAAAATAGGGCCACAACCTTGGGGGAAGTCAACTGCAGAAAATCTGTAATAGCAGAAATGCTTGTGGGGTTGGGCTCTCTAATGCCCATCTTTTGTGATGAGAAAACAACACCTTTTTTATGAATAGGAAAATGCATAATAGTAGTAAAGCCCTTGTGATATGTGTAATTTATCTTAACACCGAGCTCCTTATTTCTAAGCTTGGTATGTGATCTGGAGATTATTATATGGACACAGAATAATTGATGAGGTAAATTCACAAAAAGCTTGAGGTATTGATAGTCTTGTGTTGCTTTTATTGCATGTAAATACTATTTTCAAACTAAATCAATGGTTTATCTTATGATTGCTATCCATTTTTCAGGATTTTAAAGCAACTGTTTTTCAGCTTGAAAGTGTTGGCGTGAACTGTAACGGGAAAACCTTTCTAGAAAACATCCATATTTATTGAAAAGCAAAAGACACTTGCCATTTGGATTGATGAACATCCATCAAACTAGAGAGAGAAGTGAAATAAGCATTTTCCTTTTCAGTAAGTGGTTTTGATGTACTGCACCGCCTCGGTATAGCTGTAACCTTGGGGGAAGTAAAATAAGCATTTTCCATCAGTTGTCTTTTGATGTGTGACTGCACCGCCTTGGTATACATTATACAGTGATGTATGTTTGCCCTGCCTTAGTGTATTGTGAAGTGAAGAAATGTAAGAGTCAAAAGTGGAGAAAGTATAAAAAGTGAAGGGCGTGTTTTGACGCTTGGAAGAGGGGGCCACATCTCATAGAAGGGGCAGTTTCCAAGGAAAAAAGGGCTTTTGATGTTGAGTGTGGGATGCCGCACTTCTATTTTGCGGCTTTCATGCTCCTGCAACAAATGCAAAAGGGAGATTTGGTCGAACTTGGGTCTCCGGCTCTTAAAGTCCCACCAATCAAACATACCCGAAATAATGGATGCTTTGAATCAAACCATTGTGGCTACTCTACCCTGTCTTTTGTCTGGATATTGGATTTCCATGCCTTTGACTTGCCTTGATGGATTATTCTAGTCGGTGTTTTAAAAACCGGACCGCCCAGTGCCTAGGTGGTTCAGAAGGCGCCCAAGCCTAGGCTGGCTGTTTTCGGGTGACCGACTAGGCGCCAGGGAACCTGACTAGGCGGGCGCTTAATGCCCAGCCCTGGGCGGGCCAGGGAACCTGCCTAGGCGGGCGCTCAATGCCTAGCCTTGGGCGGCCGCTCAGAGGCGGAAATGCCTCTCGTTGAGGCCAGTTTTTGGTAGGAAATGCCCATTGTTGAGGGAATTTTTGTTTTTTTTTAATACTAAAAGGGCCTTTTAGAGAGAAGAAATCCAAAAAATCTAGTTTTTGGTGATTTCTATAGGATAGAAGGGTTTCTCAAAGTTATGAGAAACTGAGCTGAACATCACCCGTTGATATTAGATTTAGTGGACCATCAGACTATGGACTTGTGAAGTATGAAGGAGTGTATGCCATGTGTACTTTTGTACTTCACATTTGATGTGCCATAAGCCCCAACTCTTACATGTTATATAGATTTACTTATATTGTTAGACTATAGAGACATTTTTTTTCTATTGGGCTGCTTAGGTTATGGGTACTCATTTAGTCATTGAACGGCTTGGACCCCTCCCCTCCCTTGGCTGCCTAACATTTTTTAAAACACTCAAACCAAAGATTCTTCCTACTTAGTTCTAGGCATTCTCTAGACATCCTGTATTTGGCATAGAGTATGAATTTGCCATCTCTCTCTCTCTCTCTCTTACTGGTAATTGTAGGGCAAATGGGTTAACATAGTTCTATGGTCAACTCTTGTAAGCAGACATTCTTGGGCAGTGTAACTCTTGATTCCATAGATTCCTCAAAAAAAAAAAATACAAAAAAAAGAAAGTGTAGTTCTAGAGAATGCTTGAGTGAAATTTTCCTCAAGAGGCAGTAAAAGAGAGAGAGAGATTCAAGTGGCTTATCCCAATCTTTCTCTCCCCTCCATGTTGGAGTGACATGCTAGCTGACGCTCCCCCCAACGAATAAAACCATATAAAGAAAGCAAAAAGTTTTTGGGTTTATCACTTTCTAGTGAAGTTTATCGCAACAAACGCATGCACGTCTAAAACATACACTGAGCTATTTACAAATGGGATTGGATGCCGTGAGACCATTTATCTTTTATATATATATGTTGCAATTGATTAGATGGTTTGATGTACGAGAAAAAGTTCAAGATTATGTGTTTTTGAACTTTGAGAATAGTTGATGACACGTTTACAACCACTTTATTCAAAATTTGATGGATAAAAGTAATTGCGATATCTTTATATATTAAAGAGTAATGATCCTATAGGATCTTCTCCCACTCATGTGTGTAGGACATTAAAAGATCACTATTAAAGTTGACACGAATTTTTAGAAAAGTTATCATGTGGTTGTGGGACTTGAATTTTCTATAGATATGTACCAAATTTAATGGTGATCTTTCGGTCCTACGCATATGGGTGAGGGAGGGTTCTATAAGATTATTTCTCTTTATTAAAATGTATCTTTATGTATTTTTCGTTCACAAATATGGCACTTTAACGAATCAACATGTAACTTTTACACCAGAGGACCAAACAAAGAGAGAAGAATTACAAGCATAATGGCCAAGCCCTCTAATTTTGCTCAGTGTTTCAAAAAGCGCTAGGTGGCACTTAGGCGGTCAGGGGATTCATGCCGCCCAATACCTAGGTGGGCGCCCAGAACCCCTAGTAGAAAACTTGATTTTTTTGGGTTTTCTCTATGTAAAATAGCCTCTAATTGGTTTTAGGTTTTAAATGAACCTAAAACCCACATTTTTGCCCTTTGTATTAAAAAAATTGACAAAAAAATACCCTCAAGGAGCCACATTTACGCCCCTGGGCGGTCGCCTCAAGCGGGCGTTGAGGGATATCCGCTTAAGCTCTGGGCGGTCCTCCCTGGGTGGCCCGCTTTTTGAAACTATGATTTTACTTGTGACCCACTCTAGAGTTTTACAAAATTAGCCAAGAAATGCTTTTCAAAAGGCGTACCAAAAGCAAAATGAATACAAAAATAAAGGCATTAGTTAAGCATAATTAATTGTTTTTTTTGTTAAAACATCGTAGGGTAACAAGAATTAAGCACAATAAAAAATTTAAAGTGTTATAAACATCGTAGGGTAACAAGAATTGGTTCATGAAAAATCCTTTGTTCATGATTGACTGTGTTCATGATTGACATGGGCGAAAAAAGGAGTTGGCGAAGTGGTTGATCAAAATCATGAACCGAAGATTTTTCATGCTTATTATGAAATGTTGGGAGGGTGGTGCTTATAGGAATGCGTCCATTACAATTTATTTTTTAAAAAAGGGTTTATGAAACCAAAATAAAGCTTCACCTCATCTCCATGATGACACTATAAAATTCATTTATGACACTGACAATGATATTGGAACTCAAAAAATGGTTTAGATCTTGCTGATCTTTGAACACTTATTTCTAGGGTGAAATGGATGGTCTAGAAAATTTGTTACAATATACATTATTTTCAAAGCTTAAATCCTTTTTTTTTTTCACAACCATAATGTCTAATTCCGAGATGATTGATAGACTTTTGACATACTCATGTCGAATCATGAATAGATCTAAGTGTTTGTAACACTGCCTAGGAGATTGTTTTAGGTCATACAATGACTTCTTCAACTTGTAAATATAGTCCTCATTGCCTTTAATTATAAATCCTTAAGGCTGTGTCATATAAATCTATTTATCTTTCCATACCGGAATGCAATCTTAACATCAAGCTACTCTAACTCCAAATCAAATAATCTTCATGAATAAAAGTGTACTTCACAATGGAGGAAAGATCTTATTATAGTCAATATCTTCCTTTTGTGCATTTGTAACTAATCATGCCTCAAACTGATCACCACCGGACTCAAATGTACCTTCTTTCTTTTTATAAACCTATTTATATTTAAACGCTTTCTGGCCTTTAGGCAACTTCACGAGATCCTATATATGATTCTTTTGAAGAGATTCCATTCCTTCATTCATGGCATCACTCCACTCGCTACTGCCTATGTCATATGTAGCTTTCTTAAAAGTAGATAGCTCTTGGATTGTAGCATTTAATATTTAAGCCACCATATCCTCAATACTGTACACCACTGGCTTCTTAATTCTTTTTTCCCTTTCTATGTAAGGTTCTTCCTTAGGTGCAGTAGGCTCAATGACCTCTTCATGATCAACATTTTCCACCATTCTTTCCTAGGGATTTTCTCATACATATTTTAGAGTATTTTTTGGACTTTTCAACGCTACCTCAACTGCATCATCACTATTATGATTTTTCACTTCGGCATCCTTTTGAATGTGCTTCAACATGACAAACTCATCAAACTTAACATCACAACTAAATAATAAACTTAGGCGACTTATGATCTGGGCACCATAGTTTATGGCCCTTAACACCATATGCAAAACCAAGGAAATTACACTTCTTTGATCATAGACTTGACTTATCATCCTTAGCATGAATGCAAATAGGACAGCTAAAAATTCTCAAATGAGAATAATTAGTAGGTTTACCATATCGTACCTTTTGCGGTGTTTTACATTCTATGCAACCTATTAATGAGGAAACATATTGTATTGACTACTTCTGCCTAAAAGTCCTTCGACAAACCAACATTACTCAACATGCTATCGGGTGCAGGTCTTCGCAGGAAGTGTAATATTCATGCGCTTAACAACTCTATTATGTTGTGGCGTCTTCAGAGTAGTGTAGTAATGAACAATTCCTTCACTCTTATAAAAATTCACAAATTCCTCTTAAGTACACTATCCACCGTTATCCGTCTTCAAGCACTTGATCTTTTCCTAGTCTATCATTCAACCTTAGCCTTCCAATGGTTGAATGTATTAAATACATTTGTCTTCTTCTTCAGTATGTAAATCCACACCCTTATAAGAAACTCATCTTTGAAGGGAGTTAAGGGCAAAGATTTGCCTTTTGAGACAATTGATGTAGTGCCCCATACATTTGAATGAACATAATCAAGAATGTTTTATGTGGTATGCTTTGACAGTAAAACTGCACCTTACACTGTTCATCATAAATGCAGTACTCACAGAAGTCCAACTTGCATTTCTTTACGCCAGTAATAAATTAACATTTGCTCAACTTTGACAAACTCTTTCAATCATGTGGCTCAGCCGTATATGCCACAACTAAGTCAAGTTAGAATCACCACCATCAAATATGGAAATTGTTGCTACGTCTATGACATTTCCCAAGCAACATATATAAATTTGGCCCAATATTTTTGGTGTTTAATAACAACACTAACACCACATTATCTGTTTAATTTTCCAAACTTTGATCCACAATATTGGCCACATTGGAGGTACTTTTTTTCCTTCTCTTTGAGTTTCTAACAATTTTTCTTGACATCACTATTTTTCTTGTAGTAATAGCAATGACATTACCTTTTCCCAATCTAGATTTGATATGGATCTGTCCTGACCTTCACATCCCTTTTCATTTATGTCAATGGATCTCCCTCTAGCAACTACACTATCTGTGTGTAGTAGAGCATTATCATTTGAGAGAAGAGTCAAAGTCATATCCATCATTTCTATGGTGTTTTTTTATAAAGCAATGTCATGACAAGATGCTCATATAAATGAGGGAGTGAGAACAATAAAATTATAGTCTTGTCTTCATCTTCCCTATTAACACCGATGCCCAATAATTCATAAAAAAAATGTATTAACTTGATTAAGGTGTTTATAGATATCCATACCTTAATTTATATGCATGGTATATAACTGTTATTTTAAATATAACCGATTTGTGAGGGATTTTATCACATAATCTCTCAAGCTTCGACCATTGATGATGTTAAACAACATTTCACTCGATAGGCACAACTGAATAGCTCTCATAGCCCTTAGATTTAAGTCTTTTCAATCTTCATTTGACATGGATTCTGGTTTCTTTGACTTTTTTTTTAATGTTTTATGTAATCTTTGTTCCACTAGCAAATCTCAAACATTAATTTGCCAAATTTTTAAATTATTTTTTCCATCAAAT